CCTGGAGGCCATGAGTCTAAGAGGAAAGGGTGAAGGGAGAATCAGGGAGCCTTGGACTTCTGTGGGGTTTTGGAGGGCTCTGTCTGTGGTCCCATCCCCTCTGTGCTCATCTCTCTTAGAGACAAATGTGGCCTGTTCTGCCATGCGCTGAGCTACAGAAATAAGAGGTCACCGTGCTCCGTATTTGTCTTTACTGGGGTGTGTGCTGAGCTCAGTGCAGAATGTTGATGAGCCTTTTCCCATCCTGAGGTACTTGGTTAGCCGTGCTGAGTCAGTGGCAGTGGCTCAGGTGTCCTGCCCTCTCGCTGCAGTCCTGCAAGGTCGGTCACTGCAGTCCCGCGGGGTGGGACACTGGAGGTTTGCCTCCCTGCCTGGTTCTGTGCACACCAAGGCGTGAACGTGATCTCCCTGTTACAGTGGTCCTTGTTTTCCCCTCCTGCAGCCTGGCCAAAATCGACTTGTGATGGAAGAAGGATGCAGAGGCAGTCGGGTAGCACAGACGCTTGTTTTCTAGGAGGCATGGTCTAGGTCCTCAGCCTGGCTTTTCTGCTGGTTTTGTTCAGCCACCGATTGCTCCATCAGCAGCCCTGTGCTCTGGCTGCCCACCCACCAGCCAAAATCATTAACCCTTTCCCTACCAGAGTGGGACACTGAGGCTGGGTGTGTGTAGGCATGCTGGAAAGCTCAGCTTAGTCATCTCAGTGCTCCTAAGACTTTGTTTTGATGTTTTGCTACTCCAGCTGTCTGTGAATCCCCTAGCAAATGAGTTTGCTGGCAGGATGCTTCAAGGGAAAGACAAATCTTGAAAAATTGTATTCGCAATTAAGACATGCCTTATTTTTAATTGGAAATCTGATTCTCTGGATTAGTGCCCACCCAACCAGAGAGAATAAACATATGCTGGTATATCAACAAAACAAAGAGGGCACTGAATATTCAAGGCAAACCTTATACACTGAAAATGCGTCATAGAAATTATCCAGCAAATCAGTTTTGATGACAAATCTCATACACTCATTGTCCATTCACAGCCATCAAGAAGAGAAGAAAGAAGGAGTGCCTGTCTCTATTGCTCTGTATGTTTGCTAACCCTATTTTAGCATCTTTCCTCTAAGACCTATAATGAATAGATCATATATTGCAATTTCTGGCTTTATGTTATTGCTTCATTTTCCCAACTGCATCCCTGTCCACTCTTGTGTTTCTTGACTAGTCCATTGCTGTTGCTCTCCGGAACAGGGCGGATGAGGGACACCTGTCTGTGGTTGGCATCTAGAGGCACTGCCTCATACACAGCTAACGGGAAGCTGTCCTGACGCCTTCTGGAGGTGAAGGTACCCACCCAGCTCTGTTATTTGCAACCATATTTCCTCCTTTGGCCCTTAAGATCGGAAAAAGCACAGTAGTAGTGGCATAGCTGGGAACAGGAACTGTTTTGGCAATGCTGTGAGTTTGGTTGAACCTTTCAGATACTATCACAGAGTGTTGTCACCTGCGTACTGCAAAATGTGTGGTGTGAAAATTTAGGTTAGGGGTTTCACAGTGACTTCGTGAACTGCAGTGTTCCTGTGATCTATAACTCTGTATACCAAAAAATGTAGCTGTCCAACCAGAGGGAAGTTGAACATGTCCTACAGGTCTGAGCTCAAGCTGTTCTTGGTGCGCGTGAGCAGAAATCTGCTCTCACTGTTTCTGCTGCATGTTTTGAACCTAGAGCAGCTACATGATTTACTTTTAGCTGGTTGCTCCCGATAGTTATTTTAATGGTAATGCTGCAGCTGTATAATTTGTATAAACTTTTCTAAGAGCAGCACCATAAAAGGTGAGTTTAGCTGGAACGAATGGTCTAGAAAAGTACTGGTTTGGGTATTTGGAGGTAAGTTTCTCTGGTTATCTGGGGTTGAAGGGACCAGGGAAAGGGCATCAGCCTCAGAGGAGCTGAGATACACTGTGTTACAGGCCTAAACATGACATGATGGCTCCTTTGAGCTCCTTTGGAGGTGCCTAAGAGAGAGGGGAAAGAGCTGGACTGGGTCTTCAGGTACCTTCTGTTCCTGAAATTTCTCTCCGCAGCCTAATATTGAAACAGCAGTGCTAGGTGGAGAGACATGAACTGGTTGGGCTGGGAGGGTGAAGGATTGCATTTGGGAAATTTTGAGGCAGGAGAGCTTGGAACAGGAGATACTCGTACCATCTCCAGGAGAAACCCATTGCTTTTGGCCACCAGGAGCAAAATATCTGCTACTGGGGGAAGGGGATAGCAACAAGCACTTGATAGGGAAAGACAACTTGTACAGATCTCTGTGAAAATCCCCCTCACCCTGCCATCCTCCAACAGGATGTTCCTCCTACAAGCGTGAAAACGGTGCCTAGAAACAAGCTTCAGGATCTTACCGCTGGGTGGTGGAGCGGTGGTGGCAGAGAAGGGACTTGGAAGTTGCCAGGAGTCTCCTTGTTTATTTGCTGAAGGTCTAACAGCTCTGTCGGTCAAAGACACACTCTCCTTGTTAACAAAAAGGCAGTGAATTATTTAGCAGCTGAAAATGCCAGATGGCAATGGCTTTGCTGCTTACAGGAGGAGGGGAGAGAGGAAGGGAGATATGCACATTGCGAGGAACAGATTGAGAGCATTTCCATAGCAAAGAGCAGACCCTGGCCAGAAGTCCTGGTGGCCCAGGTGGTTGCCTGATGGCAAGCAGGAGGCAGGCAAGCCAGCTGCCATTTGCCAGAGTAGCCCACTCATTTCCCACAGGTCTCCTCGTGTTGGAGGTCCCTTGTCAGGGGTTGTATCCTGATGGGGCCATGCTGGCCCTTGAAGTACAGGACTCCCAACCTTGGCTGGGGGGCAGGACATGAATGAGGGCACCACAGGGAGGCTTTGCCAGCCCATTCATCACTTCACACCTGGGTGCAGTGATGGTACTTCAGCCCCAAGTCTACTGGGATGCCATTTAGAGAAGTATCAGCATATCTCAGGTGACTTGGCAGTTCTTTTGAGAGTAACACCAATGTTCAGCTGTCCCAGCGTGGGCTGTGATGTCTCCAGACACCATGGACTGGCCAGATCAATGTGTATATGGCCAGGGACCTCTGAGGAGAACTGAAGATGCTGTAGGCAGGATGGGCAGATCTGTAGCAGACACTGAAGCCCAAGACTCAGGTGACACTGCACCGTATGCACAGTAGGAGGGACTGCAGATAGCCAGATGCCAACCTAACCCTGGAGCAAGGTGAGCCTCAGGCTCTTCTGGGCTCATAGCCTTGGTCCAATCATCCCAGCCACTCGTAGACTTCCAGTGGAGATTTTTCTTTGGGATGAAATTTATGCTTTAGAAATTAAGAAAATAAAATAAAAAAATAAAGAAGTCATCATCTTTTTTGTCTTTAATTTGGAAACTGCAGGCACCAAGAGTAGTCCTTAAATTCTGCAACCTTCTTGAGAGCTTGGATTGAGAATCCCTAGGGAATCCCCAGTGTCCAGACTGTCAGAACCCTTTTTTTTTGTCAACTCTTGTGTTTGAAAACCTCCTTCTTCCTCAACCTTTTCTTTCCCTGGATGAGGAGATCAAAGAGAGTCAGTCTCTTAGGCATATAACCTGTGTCAGCTCCTGCCTCAGCACACTCAGCCTGCCTGCTCTGCTCAACTGTGGGGTAGGGGTGTCTGGGTTTCTCAGGAGCTTTAGGGCAGGACTAATCTCCTCAAGCAGCAAACTGTATGGTCTAAGAGAGAGAGGCTGAGGTTACAGCAGTGTATATAAAATCACGTGCTACTGTAGTCTCCCATCTGTCACACTGACGCGGCAGAAATAAATGTTTCCCAACAAAAGCAAATCTGTGTAGAGCTCAGGAAGATCCCCTTTCTAAGCCAAGACATTTTGTGTGTGCTATCTCTGTGCTCCCCAAGGACCTCTCAATCAGGTTTTCTTTGGTGCTGAAGAAGAGTTGATGCTGTTTGGTCTTGGTGGAAAAAAATGCCATAAACATTTCACATCTTCAAATCCCTGGAGGTGCCAGCTGTCTTTGTTTGCATCGTCCTCCATTTCTTAATCCTGTCCTTGTGGGCTTTGAGCATCTTCCAGCAGGGATCACCCATGTCTGTGTGACTGTGGGGACTGCAGCAGGGTCCCAGTTGTGGATGGAATATAGATACAAAGGAAGGAGAGGAATGAATGCCCAGTGGCTTGAATGCAAAGCTCACAGGAGTACATGTTAATACACCATTCTGAGTTTTCATGTGGCCTTTGCCCTGGTCACAATACATTGGCCATAATATACTGTGCCCAGCATGTCTGCAAGGCAAGGCACTTATATAGCTCCTTATAAACTTCAGGCATGCCAGAAGATGTTCTTGTCAGGAGTACAAGTTCCTGAGAATCGGGATGTAGAATAATTGCGGTTAGAAGGACCCCCTTGGAGGTAATCCAATAAAAGCCCTTGCTCAGGGCCAGGACAACTTCAAAATTGTATTTGGCAGCTCAAGGCCTCCAAAGACTGTGCTTGGTGTCACCATAGACATAGTTGTTCTCCTCTGAAGGCTGCACAGCTCTCCAGGCACCAGAAGCAGCTGTCTGAAGGTGCCCAGGGGGGTCTCTAAGGCACAGAGGCACAACAGGCATATGAGGAAAAGAGACTCTGGCCCCCTTGTCCCCACCCCATGTTTGTTAGTGTTTGCTGTGCTGCTTCCCTCTTCTCTCGTCCTTCTGGTGAGTGCAGCGGCTGTTCATCAGTGTCCTGGCACGCAGGTCTGTGGCATCCCCATGAGTAACAGCCATGTTGGCTGCTGTAGGGTGCTTGTTCCCAGGGTTCCCAGGCACCGCATGTTTGGAGAGGATCCTCGCCTACCTAAAGCATGGTAGTAGGACAGGTTTTGGAAATAAGCTACAGTATTGGCCATTAATGGCCTTAAAGTGTCTTCTGTCAGTGAGGACTGTAGCCTGTGGTATCAGCTCCCGGGGAAGGTGGGGGGGAAGCTTAGCATTTAGGGTTTTGAGAAACTAATTCTTCTGAAGACGATACCTTGGAAGGAGCAATTCTGCTCAGGTGGAAAGCTGAAAGGGAGGTTGTGATGCTAGAGGAGGACAGAGGGCTTAGGGATATTCCGTAGGCAGTACATATTCTGGCTGTGGGGAGAGAAGCAAGTGCAGCCCAGCAGCTGAGTTGTTAACATCATCTTTGCTCTTTTTCTCAGAAATTCAAGCAAATGCTTCAGCTCCTCATTCCTGCCTGCTGACTGCACTGGGGTGGCCATGACTCAACCCAGCTTCCAGGACTGAGGGGCAGAGGTGGTGAGAGACCTGTCTCAGGTATGACAAAGACAACCAAATAGCATGGGGTTTCATGGGGGTGGGGAAAGGGCAGGAAGTAGCTGTGAGATTTCTTCAGCATCACCTCCTGCCCTGTGTCCCACGGCCACTCCCTGGGAGAGACTGGGACTGGGGATGCTCCAAGGTCACCAACCAGTCCTCTCTCTGCCCTACTCTTAGTGAACTCCTCAGACTTTGATGGAGGAGACCTGGAAGAGCCATGAAGCAAAAGCTTCTCCATCCATACCATGCCTCTGTGTTGCAGAGTGAGACCCCACAATGGCGCTGATGGAGAGCGTGTACTCAGTGGAGCCGGCACCTGATGGTGCCACCCCCACCTCGCTGGATATGCTCATCTTCTTGGATGCCCCAGTGAACAGCACAGAGGAGCAATGCTTCAGTGCCCGCTCCCACAGCACCGTCCTGGAAGGGCTGCCCTTCGGGGGAGTGCCCACTGTGCTTGCCATCAACTTCATCCTCTGGCTGGTGAGTGGGCCAGGAGGGTGCCATTTCTACCAGCACTGCAGCCCCTGGGTGCTCTGTCAACCACACACAAGTGCAGCCCATGCACCGGTGCATACAGCTGACTCAGGGAATGGGAGTGAGTGCAAGGGACCAAAGGTTTTGCCCACATCATTGATGGGCAGCAGGGAGCACTTGGGCAGTAGTGGTGAGATCACAGAGCAGGAACAGTTCGACTTGAGGCAAGAGTTTGCACGAGCTTGGGCTCATGAGTGAGAAAGCAAAAAGGAGGGATGTGAGAAGGTCCCATGGGGTCTCCTCTTTCTTCTTTCAGCTTCTCCTTTTGGTCTTCTCCTGTCTTCGGAAAGCGGCTTGGGACTATGGGCGCCTGGCGCTGCTGATGGACAATGATAGGTGAGGAGGATGCAAAGCCCGTGTGGGTGATGGCTCCATTCTCTTCAAGAGAGCTGGAAGGAAGGCCAGCACTGCAGGGTGGCACACAGAGAAGTTCAGCAGGTGTTCCTGTCCCTCCTCCCCACTGGGAATGGCCTGGCTGTCCTTGCCCATGGAGACACAGGCACCATCTGCTGTGGAGATAGGGAAAGCCTGGACGAGCTTTCATTCGTTCTTGCTGGTAGCATTTGGTGACAGTGCTCTGGGTGCCACTGAGGGCACTGTCCTGGGAAGGACAGAAGCCCAACAGCTGCTATTTAGTGGGGCATGAGCCACTGCCTCTTCTCCTGCCACTCTCTTGGGATGAGCAAGACAGGCTGGGGGAGGGGGCAGAGGGAGACACACAGCTATAATACTGTTTCTCACGTACCTACAACTTGCCTGGCCTGTCATTTGGGCCAGATGCAGAATCCCACAAAAATTAGCAGTGTTCTAATAAAAGTAGAGGCCAGACGAGATTTCCAGGTGGGCTGTGCTTCCCACAACTGCCTGCCTGCCAGAGCACGGCTCACCCTGGGCAGCAAAGGATCTTTCTTTGCACAGGCAGGTGCACACAGGTGGGGTCTCTGTAAGGCTGGGCAGCCCTCAAGAGCAAACACTGGCCCACTCTTGCCTTCTCACTTCTCCAGTTCCTCTTGGCCTTGGACTCTGGAGCTGAGTCAGGCAATGGACAGGTGATGTTTCCCTTCACTGGGGAGATCAAAGGGCAATCAAGAATTAAAATGCAAGTTTCGATTACATTTCTTTTTACTGTAAAACCGTTTGAGACGTCAGAAAACAGTGGAATAGAAAATATCTGTTTTAGCAGGCCCTTATGCTGGAGCTAAGGCTAATTCTCTGTGAGCCACCCCATCATGGGTCAGGGCCACAGAGAAGCTGTGGAGACTTGTCAGCACAGAGGCAGCAAGATGCAACCCCTCTGTCCCAAGCCCAGCTGTAGTCACTGGTCCAGCCCCAGTGCAGGATGCAGGGAGGGGGGGAGGCATTTCCTGCGCTGCTCTCCTAGGAGAGAACTTCTCCAAGGGTGCTTATTTTCTCCTGTCTGTTGCTTCTCTTCTACCTCACCCCTCCTCTTCCCCCCTCACTGCAAAGTCTGACCTCGCTTTTCTATGGAGAGCAGAGCGAGAAGGAGAAGTCCCCGTCAGAAAGCAGCCCCCTGGATGCCGACAACAAGGATGTGGTGAGTGCCAGTGGCTGTGGCAGTGGGAGCTTGGACTGGGCTTGTCCTGGCCCAGGCTGTCCTGTTCTTTATCAGAAACCCAGGTCAGAAGTTAAATAGGAGAAATTGAACCTGAAGGGTTTTTTCGTCCTGGATTCTTTTGAGGCATATGTCTTGAATGGCAGTTCTGAGGGGATGCCCCCATCAGGGCAAGCATCTCCCAGCTGCATGGCTATCCTTGCAGCTATGGGAACCTAATTGGATGCATGGCCAAAGCCATGGTGCATGCCTGCAGAGATCTTTCTCAACCATCAGGACAGAGTCCCCTGCACCACATTTCCTCCTCTGCCAGCACAGTTGAATGCCGGGACTTTAAAGTAACCTTTTGTTTCTCTGTCACACCAGGCACATACCAGGCTTTGCTGGAAACAAACACAGATGGACACACTTTACTGCCTCTTTCTTTTTTGAGCAAAAGCTCAAAAGTCAGTCACTGGCGTGACTATGAAAAAAATTGTCATGACATTAAAAAAAACTAGGCAGGAAAGGAGCAAAACAAACAAGACCCTTGCAGGTGGCAGGAGGCCTGTTTAAAGCCTCTGTAACAGATGCTCTAGGCAAATGTATATTGCTCATCAAAAAATAAGTGAGAAAGATCACAGGGAAAGCCATCACTCTAAGGAGCAGATTAAGGGAGATTATTAAAAGTAAGAAGACATCCTTTAAAAAGTTGAACTGTTCACAAATGAGGAAAAATCTCATCTCTGCCAGGTTAGATGTAAAGTACACTAAGAGGGGAGAAGAGCAGTTTTGTGGAGAAGTTTGTAGAGAGCATGAAAGCAAGTACAGAATAACAAAATCACAGAATGGGTAAGGTTGGAAGGGACCAAAGTGAGCCATCTGGTCCAACCTCCCTACTCAAGCAGGGTCATCCTAGAGCACATGGCACAGGATTGTATCAAGACGGTTCTTGAATAACTCCAGTGAAAGAGACTCCACAACCTCTCTGGGCAACCTGTTCCAGTGCAAGCTCACCCACACAGGTGAGCTAAATGGCTTCAAGTTGTACCAGGGTACATTAAGATTGGATATTAGTAAAAAATTCTTCACTGAAAGGGTTGATACTGGAGCAGGTTGCCCAGGGAAGTAGTGAAATCACCATTCCTAGAGGTATTTAAGGGCTGTGTAGATGTGGCACTTAGGGCCATGGTTTAGTGGTGAACTTGGCAGTGCTTGGTTAATAGTTCAATGATTTTAGGGGTCTTTTCCAGCCTTACAATTCTATGATTCTATAAATCCTCCAGAAAGTGGTAAAGTGAAGAGGCCAGATGGCTGAGTGCTGTTTGGTACGGCTGTGACCAGGAGGACTGCAGAGGCACCTTGAACTTGCATGAACGCTAGTGTTTGCACAACGTAAAATAATGTGTAGGGGAGAAGACCCCCTAATATTGCATACATGGTGACAGGGAATAAGCTATTACACAAGAACTTAGGTTGTCCAGTATCACTTTACAGCAGTGCTGGCTCAGCGCTTGGTAGTGGTCAAAAAAGTGCATTGCATGTTAAGGACTGTCAGGAAAGGGGCAGAGAAGGGAGCTGCTGGGAGCCAGGAGCCTGTTACAGAGATGCTCCTTAATATTCAGAGGAAGCTGAGGTCCAGGAAGTCACCCCTGGGACAATGGGTTAGTGCTTGACTTCAGCTTTCTCTGCAAATCCTTCTGCAGCCAAAAATATGCACCTGACAGCCATGACCTGTTGGTTGATGTTTGCAGGGAGACTTCCTTGTCCATCTACACTCCTGCCCCAGCAGACCTCCAGCTCCCACTCACAGGAATTCTCTTATCACCACTTTCAGGAAGGTTGCATGGTCCCTCAGGGCTCTCATCACCTTCAAGAGAGGTTGTGCTCAGCTTCCCACCAGCTCTTTGGGCTGTGTTTTTCCTGCTCCTCCCAAGGCAGCTGCCTTTGCCACTGAGCTGAGCATTGCTGAGCTGCCTTGGGCACTGCCTCCATTTGCTTATCTCCCTGGCCATAGGCACTGCATCAGCTCTGTATGTCTCTAGCATATGTTGTGCCCCAGCTCCTTGCTGGAGAGGTGGGGTTGGTTGCCTTCATCTCATCCTGACTTTTGCCTTCTAGGGATTCTGCTCCTGGCTCATTTCTATCTACCAAATGAAGTAAGTGTGTGTCCTTGGCATTATGGCCATTTCTATCTACCAAATGAAGTAAGTGTGTGTCCCTGGCATTAGGCCATGCCCCACTGCTGCCCACCCCTGGGAAGCTGGTGTCCACAGGTGGTGGCCCATCACCCGGAGCTGCTGGGACCAGCGGCAGAGGAGAGCCCTCTTAAAACATCCACCCTGAAGAGAGAGCAGAGGGCTCATCTCCGCATTTCCCCTGGCCCCTAGATCCTATCCCAAAGAAAAGGGCTTCAACCTCTTGTGGTAGGAACCAGTCCTGTAATGGGATGGCAGCCAAAGGGTGCTTCTGTCCCTCATTCCTTCTGTGCCTAAATCGTTTGTGCCATAGGCAGGATGCCATGAGTTGGTATGGGCTGTTGGAGACTGGAGCAGTCAGAGTTCCTGTGGTGGGAGGTGGTGGGGAGGAACCACCAGCACTCATCCCCACCTGCCTCTCCCCAGGGACGAGGAGATTCAGAGCAAGTGTGGGATCGATGCCACCACCTACCTCTCCTTCCAGCGGCACCTCCTGGTCTTGCTGATGCTGGTCTGTGTGCTCTCCGTGGCTGTCATCCTGCCCGTCAACTTCTCAGGGGATCTCCTTGGTAGGTGCTTCCCTACTTACGGAAGGAGTGTTGTACAAGCTTCCCAGCCTTGGGGCAAGCACTATGCCTCTGAGACAAAAGGCAGAAGAACCCCTCTGTCAGAAGCCCTCAAGGGAGCATGAACCCACCATCAGTTGGGGGACAGAGGAACACAAGAGACAGGGAAGTTCAGGGCAGTGAGGACTTGGCGGGGACCTGGGAGATGGAAAAGGAGGGAGCAAAGACCAGAGCCACTAACTTCAAACATGGACATGCACGTTGTACTGATTTCCCTTAACCTTCTGCTTCTCCTCTTCCTCTGCAGGACACAATCCCACCCACTTTGGCCGGACAACCATCGCCAACATCCCAACACAGTAGGTGCTCCCACATGCAGGGGAGCTGTGTGTGCTGGTGCTGTGGTGGGCATTGCTGGGAGCACACAGGCACAGCACTTACCACAGCCCCGTGCTGGGGACAGGCAGAGGTCCATGTGAACAGCACAGCCACTCACAGGGGCTGCATGGCCTCATCTCTGTAGTATCTCAGCCTACACACTGGGTGCTACCCCTCTAGTCCCTGGGGTTAGGGGTCTGACAGCTGGCACAGGGAGGTCCTGCTGGGTGAAAGGGGTGGCCATGGGTGAGGTACCGGGTGCCAGGCTTGTCCCATGCCATGTGCTCACCACAGCTCTCTCTGATCCCCTCTTTCCCTCTTCCAGAGACCGTCTCCTGTGGCTGCACAGCATTTTCGCCCTCATCTATTTCATCCTCACCATTCTTTGCATGGCTCACCACTCTGTCCACCTAGAATACAGAGAGAACGAGAAGGTGAGCAACCACCCCTCTTCCAGCCTTGCCTTTTTCAGCACTAATGGACAACTTTTTGCATTGCACGAATGCTGGTCCCAGTAGGTAGGGAGAGCTTTAGAAACAGCCTGGGACTGGGCAGGCAGGGAAAGGTGTATCTGATTTTTGCCAGCTTCTGGAGAAAGTCTGACAGCCTGGGGACAGATCTCTCTCTCTTGCTCTCTTGTCTCTTGAGACTGAAGCTCTGCTGTCTCCATCTGTCTGGGGTATGACATTGTCTGGCTATGCCCCCAGGGTTTGGGACGAGGCATTGAGGAGTCCTGTGCTGACTGGCCTGGGGATGACAGTCAGTGCTCCAGCTCGCTGCTGGATGAGCAGAATAGCAGTGATGTGTCCCACAGATCCCCTGTACACCCACCCCCTCTGCCCCTTCTCCTCACCCAGGTCGCCCGGACACTGATGGTTACCCACATCCCCAAGGAGATCACAGACCCTTCCCTTATCATCAAGCATTTCCAGTGAGTAGCAGTGTGCCACAGCCTCGCTGCCTGAGTGGCAGGCAGGTGGCAAGGGCTGTCCTCATGTCCTGGCTCCTGGTGCCAACATGTCCCTGTGCTTGCAGCGAGGCTTATCCCAGCTGCACCATCACCAATGTCCAGTTTTGCTTCGATGTGCGCAAGCTGATGAAGCTGGATGCAGAGAGGTGAGTGCTTGCACGTCCACATTGCCTCTGTGGGTGGGAGTGGTACACCATGTCAGGGGCCCCAGGCTATGTTTCTGTTTGTATGTCTGCCACTCCCCACATGACCTTCACCCCTACTGGCTTCCTGGCAGGCGCAAGGCAATGAAGGGGCGGCTTTACTTCACCACCAAGGCACAGAAAGAAGGGAAGATCATGATCAAAACCCACCCCTGCGCCCACATCTTCTGCTGCCGCTTCTGTGGCTTTGAGCAGGTAGGAGGGTACGGGCAGGGCTGCAAGCAGCACACATGTACCACAGGCAAGGCAGAGCGTGGCAGCTTGCCTGTGCCCTAGCTCGGCAAGCGCAGCAGAGCTCCGGCTGCTCCTGCAGGTGGATGCTGAGCAGTACTATGGGGAGCTGGAGGAGAAGCTCACAGATGAGTTCAATGCTGAGCGCAACCGCATCACGCTCAAGCGGCTGGACATGGCCTTCGTCACCTTCCAGGATGAGCGGATGACAGCTGTGTGAGTGCCCCTCATGCAACAGACACGGGGATATCCCGCAGCCTGATGGCCACCACTGCTGGGAAACTGGGGCATCTTGCCGGCTTTTCCAGCCAAAGCCAGGCAGTGGGTCTGTCTCTTCTGTGCCTCTGCCATCTGCAGAGATGGCCGCCCTGTTGGGACTGCGGGAAGGCTCTCACAAGAACTGAGACCTGACCCCTGGCTCCCTACTCCTGCAGGATTTTGAAGGACTACAGCCACATCCGCTGCCGCAAGCACCCCCAGCAATCCTCTGTCACCACCGTGGTCAAGTCACACCACTGGGGTGTTCGCTATGCCCCTGCACCCAGCGATATCATCTGGTGAACCCCCGTGGCCGGAGGGAGGGAGGAAGCGGGAGCGAGCAGATGTGGTGGGAACCCATGCCCATAGCTATAAGGAGCCCATGCCCATAGCTGTAGGGAGCCCATTTAGCTGTAAGAAAGAATATAGATATGTGTCCGTATCTACAGAACACTTTCCCAGGGTGGCAGGAGCTGACAATCCCTCCTGTTGCCATAGCAGAAGTCAGCAGGAGTGACAGGGGTCATCACCCCAAGGCAGAGCTCAGCCAGCTGAAGTTTGGGGTGATGCCAGACTCAAATTTCTCCAGCCTGACTCCAAAGCCCCCTGGTGGTACAGACCTCCTCTGTGGCTATTCTCTGGTCCAGGGGGCTCTGCAGGTGACAGCACAGCAGCATTGGGAGGGGAAGAGGGCGAGCTCAGAACAGTGTCTGCCAGAATGGCTGGTGTGGATATCAGGAGGCAGAGCTTTGTGAAGCTATGTTGGGAGGCCCAGGACATGTGGCTTTTCTTCTACATCATGTCCAGTTCATGTTTTCCTCTCGCAGGGAGAATTTGTCAGTCCGTGGCACATCCTGGTGGGTGCGATTCATCCTCCTTAATATCTGCCTGTTCGTCCTTCTCTTCTTCCTCACCACGCCGGCCATCATTGTCAACACTATGGACATGTTCAATGTCACACACCCTGTGGAGAGCCTCAAGGTAGTCCTTGGCACCCCATGCCAATTTTCCTAAAGGGTCACCATTTCCAGGCTTGTCTGTGAGAGGGATAGGGTACCAGCTCTACACTGGCCCAAGAAGACAAGCCATCACTGGGATGGGCATTGATGAGAGACAAGGAGTGGTCATGCCTCTGGTTGCCATCCATCCCCTCCTTGTGTTTCCAGTGGCAGAGCCCTGAGGAACCTGTGCAAACATGTTTTGGTACTGGTGTCCATGAGGGTGGGCAGGTTGCTGTCCATGCATGAGGAAAGGTCTGAGAAGAGTTCTAGGAGATGTTAGGAGCTGCCAGCAGCACATCTCCTTCTTGCTCATTGACCTATGAGCTTTTGGGTGGGCACGGGAGCTCAGAGCATGGCTGTAGTGCCTTTGGCTGGCCTCAGGCTCTTCTCTCCTGAAACAAATGCCCCTGCTCAGGGGGGGCCTGCCTGCTGCACACACCATCCTGTGCCAGGAGACCCACTGAGCTATCTCCAGCATGACTGTGCTCTGGTGGACTCCTGAGGGGTGTCTGGCATCTCTCCTCTTACAGAACCCAATCATCACCCAGTTCTTCCCCACGCTGCTGCTCTGGGCTTTCTCTGTCTTCCTGCCCTTCCTTGTCTACTACTCAGCATTCTTCGAGTCTCACTGGACAAGGTAACGAGGCTGGCCCCCACGGTCCCCAGGGCTGCCATAGATGGGAGGAACCTCAGTGGAAGGGGGACCCAACCTGCAGGGAGGCAGGCAGTGGAGCAGCAGACCCCATCAGAGCCCAATAGGTGTTTCTCTCCATGAAAAAACCCAAGTCTGTGCCCAAAGGAGCCATTTCCTTCCCATAGTCCTGAACGCTTCCAGTCTACTGTCAAAGGCAGATGGTTTTAAGATGGATCTGAAGAAGTTTGTGAAAGGTGTGATGTGATGGTGGACTGGCAGCAGCAGGGCCATGATCCTGACTTGTTTGCCACATCCCGGGCATGCTTCCAGCCTTCCAAGGCTGACTTGTTTGCCACATCCCAGGCATGCTTCCAACCTTCCAAGGCTTCAGAGTGCTGAAAGTCTCCTAGTAGAGGAAACTGCCCAGCTCCTACAATGTGCTCTCTTCTGTCTTGACCCCCTACTGGCCCCAACCTTTGTGCCTGGTCTAAAAAGTCCTTGCAGGTGCTTTGTCACGAGCTCCCTTCCTTTTCCTGGGGGAAACAGGGGCTCCTGGACCCATTCTATACACCCATCTGCCTCTTGTCGGGTGTCTACCCTAGCAAGGATGGTGGGAGAGGGCAAGGACGAAGGAGGTGAGAGGCTGGAATACAAGAGCTTTCGCTACACCAGATTCCTCATGGTGACACCCCCTGGCCTGGGAGATGCTTTTCAAGGCCCCAGTAGATGCACAGAACAAATACACATGCCTTTCTGGGGCTGGGAGTAGCTCCTTGGTGAAGAGCAAGACCCAGCCCAGCCCCTTGCCCCACAGCTGCTTTTTCCTCAGAAAAGTACAATGTTCTTTTCTTCTCTCCCCTCTCTGCAGGTCAAGTGAAAATCAGATCACCATGCACAAGTGCTTCTTCTTCCTGGTGTTCATGGTTATCATCCTGCCCTCGCTGGGTCTGAGCAGGTACAGGCCACCCTGCCATGCTGCTTTCCATGCTCCCTAGCTACCAGGATCACACCCAGGCCCCTCAGCCCTGCAAGCCAGCCCCAAAGGGCTATAGTCCCACTGCCACTGGGACACAGCAGTCTCTGGGGAGAAAAACACCTTTTAGCACTGCCAAGCTGATCATAGCTGGTCACAGACAGAGCTTCCCTGTGGAGGAGCGGCATAGAGTAGCTTGCCAGTTTGCCACGGCTGACCCAAGGGTGCTGGTGGTGGTGAGCTGCTGCTTGGGGCCAGCCCTTCAGCAGACCCTGAAAGGACCTGGTCAGGTATTTACATAGCCCCAGCTACAGCTCCTGGCTGTCCAGGAGGCAAGCACCCACTCCACAGTGGTTTTGTGTGGCAGAAGGGGCTGTTCTGGCAGTGTAGGGTCCAGAGGGTCTTGCCCTTCAGGGCAGGGGAAAGCACATACCCACTGTGTGTCCCCTACATTGCTCTGCAGCTCCCCCTCTTTCTGAGCTGCTCCTCTTCTCTCCACTCCAGCTTGGACCTGTTTTTCCGCTGGCTCTTCGACACCCACTTTCTGGACGAAGCCGAAATCAAGTTCCAGTGAGTAGCAGGAAGCTCCCAAACTTCCCAGGCAAGCGGGAGCACCTGTTGTCAGCCCCCAGCAGCTCTCCTGGCTGCCTGCCTGAGCATTCTCTCACACTGTCTGTCCCTGGGACAGGTGTGTTTTCCTCCCAGACAACGGCGCTTTCTTTGTAAACTATGTGGTCACCTCCAGCCTGATTGGGACAGCTATGGAGCTGCTGCGCATCCCAGGCCTCCTTGTCTACACTGCCCGCCTCTGCTTTGCCAAGTCTGAGCCCGAACGGCTCCATGTCAAACGGGTATGTGGTTCTGGTCACATCTGAGCCTGCACAACCCCCAGCACAGCAAGACACGCTTGCTGCAAACTCAGGCTGTCATGGTCCTGTGGAGATGCTTGTGGGGACTTCTTCAGGATTCCCCTTGGGTGCTAATGGGGATGAGGCAATCCTGTGAGCCAGGGTGCAAAGGCAGGTGAAGCCTTTGCAGAGGCAGTAATGACTCTGTTGGTTGTGCCCCAGAGCCAAGCCTACCAGTTCCAGTTTGGACTAGAGTATGCCTGGACCTCCTGTATCTTCTCTGTTGTCATGACCTACAGCATCACCTGCCCCATCATCGTCCCCTTCGGTGAGTGTGATCCCATGCCCATGGTCCCAGCCACACCAAGAACAGCCTGTCCCAACCACCAGCAGGGGCATGGGAGTGCAAGCTTCCTGCATGGTACAGGAGGGCACTCTTGGGCATCATCCCCAGGGCCTGCTCTGCTCTCCCTGCGACCTGGCTGTCCCCATTGCCCTCCTCCCAAATGGCCCCTCTTGTCCCACCAGGGTTGCTCTACATGCTGCTCAAGCACATGGTTGACCGGTACAACATTTACTACGTGTACATCCCCACCAAGCTGAACCAGCGCCTCCACGTGGCCGCCATCAGCCAGGTCGTGGTGGCCCCCATCCTCTGCATGTTCTGGCTGCTCTTCTTCTCTGTCCTGCGCCTCGGTAGGGAGAGCTCGGGGCTGCACCCTGCCACTGCTGAGGGTCATGCTTGGGGATGGCAAGCCACTGGTGTCACCCCTGAGTTTGGCATGGGAAGGGGGAAGGTGGTGTGGTGTGGAGACCTGGCATCTGAGGGAGGTGTCAGCTAGTGTTTTGGGTAGGGGGCAAAGATATTGTGAGACACAAAGCAGGCATCAGCCAGGGGCTCAGCTGGACATGTAGCAGGTTCTTGGAGGCTCGTGTGCTGCCCCAGTGTCTCTGTGCTCCAGGTCCCACCCGGCCTGTCACCCTCTTTACCTTTGTGGTCCTCCTCTCCTGCATCATCTTCTCCTTCTTTGGCCTCTGCCTGAAGAAGTTGCAGCCACGGAAACCCTCCAGCTACCAGGTGAGTGCAGGCAGCTGCCCACGTTGTTCCTTCACCCCACTGCATCCTCTCCTTGCATCTCTGGGGTTCATTTGCCATGGGGAGTCTGAGGCAGCACTTGGCTGTCCCCAGCCAAAGCTGGGACTCCCAAAGCACCATTTCCTCCTGGCCTCCCTCTCCTCAGATGTCTGACCAGTCTGAGGGCAGCTTCAATGACGTGGAGCGGAGCAGTGTTTCCTCTACCCCTAACTCCAATGTGAGTACCCCTCCCCAGCCCTGCTTTGACTCCTGCCTTTGCTCCTCTGCATCCTGATGGCCCACTGCCCCCCGGGGCAGCTTTTTGTGGCCACTGTCCTGCAGGAGCCTGAGCTGAGCCTGACGCCAGCGGCCTCTCCGGCACACCAGTCCTATGGCACCATGGGCAACCATCTGGAGCCAGGAGAGGATGGGGAGGATGGGGGGCTGCAGAGCTTTGAGACAGAGCTGGAGACAGTGGAGGGCGAGTACAGAAGCGGCCCTGTGATGGAGAGCCAGGCTCGCTACCAGTGAACATCCATGGTGCCGGCTGAGGACCAACCGTGCTGAGAATGGAGGATGTGCCATGGGGCAGGAAGGAGCCTTCCCAGCACTGGTGGGGGCCATCTCTCTGATGGCACAGGGGGTGACAGGACTGATGTGAGGGGGAGACCTATTGCATGGGAGGTGGCAGGAGGCTCTGCTGGTCCTTCTGCTGCCTGGACTGGCTGAGCCCCCTAATGTCCCCCTGTCACCACCTGCCTCTTCCAGCCCACAGTGGGGAAGAGGGGGTGCAGCAGTATAGGGAGAGGGTCTCTCTGAGAGGCCATGCTTTTGGGGGCAGGAGGAAGGCCCTTGCCCCTCTTTGAGAAGGAAGCAGCCCAGACAGCACAGACGAATGTGCCCACCACCACATGGTCCTGTGGGTCCTCAGTGGCAGAGGACGGCCACCTCTAACCCTTGCATCCCACCCCACCCACCCACTGCTCAGGCAGCCATCTCAAAGCCCCCTGCTTTGCCCATTAAAGCAGAGACTGCTGACATGCGTGTGCATTGGTGGAGGAGGTGAGTGCCCAGGGCAGCTCCTACATCTGCCTGAGCACCAGTGGCCCTGCCCCAAGGTAGGCATCAAATGCAAGCCCAGCTCTTTCTCAACTTCTCACCCCATCCTTCCATCTCGCTACACTATGCCTACACCCTTGGGCTCTTGGGGGGAGAAGTGGGAGGTCAAGGGACAAGTCTGTTTGATGGCTACAAGAGCAGCTCCTTGTCATTCCTCTCCCCTGCCAGTATCCCCCTCGTGCTCATGCTCTCCCTGGGGCTGCCCATGACACCCAGCATGGCTCTGTCCTGTTGCAACAGAAAAGCAGGGTGAGTGCTAGCAGGACCCAGACTTCCAGGTCCTCCTGGTCCACCACATCCTGCCTGCCCTCACCCACAAGCCACAGCTGTGGGATGCTCCCCCAGCAGCCACACTGCCTCTCGAGTGTGAGTCCTGCTGTGGTTAGTGTAAGCACCAATTCCTGCCCAGACAGCATCCCTGGAGTTTTCCAGCTCGGCCAGAGTATCTGTGGTGGCCGCTGGGGGACGAGGGCTTATCCTCAGCCTGCTCAGTCCCTCTCCCATCATAGCCCACCTGGGCGTGCTGGCTCCTTGCTCAGCCCTTCTTAGGCCTCAGGGCTGATTTTCCTGTCCTTGATTCTTCTGCTAGCTTCAGAGCAACTCAAGTTGCCACCATCCTGGAGTGGGGAAGGGAGGATAGTGCAGCTCTGCCGGCACTGGGGCTGCCGGAATGGTGAGTGCTGCTGTGTGAAGGCAGGTGCTCAGCTATGGCACTGCTCAGTATTAGTGGTGCCACTGGTGGGGGGGGCATAGTGTGCCAGATCTGGGCGGGGGGGGATTTAAAAGACAGCCCAGAAGCGAGTTGTGGGTTTCAGTTGGACTCAAGTGGACCCTGGGACATTCCTGTGATGCTGGTGGGTCTCGGCCCAGCCGGCTGGCAACCCCATGGCCCCAGTCCCACCCATGCTCCTGCATGCTAGGGCAGTGGCTGCAGCACACTATCTACCCAAGCAGTTGCCTCGGGTGAGTCTTGAGCTCAGCTGCTCCCTCCCAACCCCAAAAAGTATCCCAGGGGTTTGGTGGCTTCCTGCCCACATGCCCCCATGGCTGCCCACAGCTCAGCCACTGCCCGCTCCAGGGGCAGCCCCAAACAGGGCAGGGGGATGCTGGTGGCCTCTCTGAGGGTGGAAGCAAGTGCCTGTGAGTGGCACTGTGTCCTCAGGAGCTCAGGCTGCTGGTCTGATTGCCCTTGGCTGCCCCACTGTAGGAATGTGCCAGAGGTCTGTACCTTCTTGTGATTTATTGCTATGACCGTGCCTTGAATAAAACGACTTCACCCAGCTGCTGCCTGGCGTCATCACCCCAACCTGTCTTTTCTGGCACCAGTATAGGGGGAACCCTCTCCAGTGGAGCCTGCAGAAGTACTCCATCCCCTTTTCCCACCTGTGGACTGCTTTTGGCCTTGCCTTGGGATGTTCTGCAGAGGGTTCAGTGGCAAGGAAACTTCTTGGACACCCCACCTCGAGACACCTTGCCACTCACCATGGCCCCCACAGAAACAAACCCCAACAAGTGGACAGAAACAGCAAAGTCACAGGAGCAGGAGAGCATCTCACTGTACCCTATCAGATGGACTGGCACAGCCCTTGGCACCATCCCTACATTGGGGATGGGGTGCAGCCCTGGGACAGTCATGTGCGTTCCCTGCACACCTTCTGTCAGCACTCTCTCCATTGGCAGGGCTGGCTCAGAACACCAGCAAAGGTGCAGACACTGCCTGAAGGTAGCAGGAGGGTGGCCTGGAACCCCTCTGGGACCACATCAAGGAGCAGGAGCAGCAGGGACCCATCCCATCTGGGTCAGATGGTCCCAAAGGTGAACTGCCCACCAGCAAGTCCCATGGTAGGGAGCGAACAACATTTTTGGAGTCTTTCTCTAGATTTCGAGCAGACAGTACTCTTTTACTCCCCTCATCCCTCCCAAAACTTGCTCTTTAAACCTGAATTCCTGCTTGAATGATTTGCCTCTGGTTTCAGCAGGTCCCTCCTGCTGGCTCCTCCACAGCTCCTCCAAGGTGAGCCCTGCCTGGCCACTCTGGCTTATGGCACAGGGCAGAAGGCAGAAAGGCAGAAAGGCAGAAGGCATGGTTAGGGCTTTCCTTCAGGTGAAAAACTGGAAAATTTAAAATCCCAGTCCACACACCCCTACAGAGGCCCCCCCTTGTTTATAATGAGTGATAAACAGGGCTAAACACTGGGGCAGGAGCTCTGGCTGTGAGCGAGGGCTGTAGTTGCCTCTGGCTCATGGCTTTCCCAGCCCTTCCACTGGGGAAGCTCATCACAGCCTAAGGAGGCTTTGTGAGCCCCATCATGCTACACCTGTGCCATGCCGGCCCTCAGAAACCCACTGCCTGATTGCAGCCTGCACACTCAGAAGTCCCTCACAGCCAGGGCCAATCAATTGCATGGAGTCTCCCACTGTGCCAGCTGGTCGTGGGCAATGACAGGAGCATCCCCACCAGGCAGCAGCCAAAGCAAAGGGGCAGTCTGTGGGAGCTGTGGCAAACAGCTATGCTGCTGCAGGCAGTCAAAGATGATGCTGCTGTTGGAGGCTGCTGCCCTGGCCCTTCCCTGCAGCACCGGAGTTGGGGTCCCACTACCAGCCCTGAGGCTGGCAGCTGTGCTCCAAGGCCAGGAAGAGCTGGAAAACTTATTTTAGCAGTGGCCCAAAGGGGGGATTTCTTTGCATTAAGGTCTCTGCTGCTCTCCTTGCCCATCACAGCCCCTCACACATTGCCCCGTGGAACAAGCCCCATCCTAAACATTCCCCAAGGCAGAGCAGCATGCCTTTCCCAGGTTGTTCACCCTTGTTTCCTGTGCCAGGGCTGGGATTTGCAGCCTTTACGAGATGCTATTACAGACCCTGAGCTGGCTTCCCCACTCTAGGCACTGCTCTTCAGCATCAAGTGCCGAACTCTCCCAGGGCTGGAAACCCACCATGTCAAAGCTGGAACATGCCCAAGAAGGAGGAGACAGGACCTTCTGCATCCTCACCAGCTGCTCCCTGGGCAAGGCTGATGGGGCAGCTCTGCAGTCCAGCTGGCAGGGTGGATGCTGCATGGAGAAGGCAGGAATTCACTGTGAGGCCATGCTCTGCTGCTGTTGGCAACCAGCAGCCGGTGACCAACACCAGGTGAGCCGATGCTATGCCAAAAAACAAAAGCAGCAGCTGAACAACAGAAAAGGGATTTTTAGGCTGATTGCTTAAGATTCTAATTCCATTAGAGGCTGTTATATTTGAAGGGCAATGAGTAATCAGTAGCAGGATGTCTCTGCTAGCCCCTCCGCTGCCCACCCATTCAATTACCATGCACAAAAACTTCCAACAGGCATTTGCTGCTGGATGCCTTCTCACGTTAGTTTAGCTGCACTACACAAGTGTTCCCAGTGACTAGTATCTCCAAAGCTAGAGCCAACAAGAAACCAGTAAACCCCGCTGTCATACTCCTTTTCTGGCCTGCTTGGGCCTTTTATATTAAAATAAACATAAGGCATCAGAAAGGGCTAAGATACACTCTTGTTCTTTATTAAACAGTACAGCTGGGTATAAGAGGCACACAAACTAGTTCAGTTCTCTTGGGAGTTACACAAAACGTGGCACAGAAAAGGAGAAGTCAAGGAGCTGGGAAAGCTAGAGGGGGCAGGGATGGTTTGAGGCAGTAACACCTACACCCCATCCATCACACAGCTGCCTACTTGTCACACAGAGCCAGAAGGTGTCACACTCCCATGATGCTGAAGGCTGATGCCCCAGAACAGGGTTGCAAAGAGGACATTCGCATTCCCAAACCCTCCTGCCCCATATCATGCCATCACAGCTAGTGCCTCCCTCCAGGCCTGGGTCCTCCATCCCTCATTGCTGGGTGCAAGAATGGGGAGGACTTCGCCTCATCCAGCAGATGGAGAGAGCCAGAGGCCAGAATGCACAGCACCACACTGTAGCACTGCAGAAGCAGAACATGGTACCATGGGGAGAACAATGAACATGGGGATGTTCACTGCCTGATCTACAACACCTCTCAGTTTGCCTACCAAACACAGCTGGAAGGCTCTTTGCTTGCTGGAAGTCCATGGCTACCATCAGGCCTGGTATCAGGAAATCAGAGACCCATCATTCCCTCCATGGCATGGGCTTGGGAGCCTTCTCCTGCCCCATCCTGGAGGATATCTGAGTATTGGAGGAATGTGTGTCCAGAACAGGACCATCTCAGCCCTCAACACCAGACTCCTCCTGTCCATACCCCTGTAACTGAAAAATTGCTCCATGTACTTGCTCTGGGGCTAGTGATGGCTAGAAACATGGTTCTGCCTGTTCCACAGTGACTTCCACATAAAGATGAACACTGCCTTAAAGTGCTCAAGCTCAGCTTCCCCCAGAGTCCTCAGGTACTGCTTCTCAGACATTTTCTGGGATTTCTTCTGGCAGATGCCATCTTCTCATTCCTGTGAGGAACTCTGCACATGGGTACTGTGTGCAGCTGGGAAGCACTCCAGGTTCTGACAGCATCAGCAGAAAGATTCCAGCTATGCTTCCTCTGGCCAAGAGCCAGAATTTCTGGAAGCTGTTGCCATGACATGATTGCAACCTTCATTTTTATTTTAAGACATCTTTGCCTTGTATTTATTTTATTCTCCTCAACACAAAGCAGTAAACAGACACTGCTGCTGCATTTCAGGTGGCTCTAAGGTTAAACCAACTGGCCAAACCAACACAAAGCCTTTCAGCTGGCAGCCCAGACTAATGTGACACCACTGCTTGAATCATCCCTAGGAAACCTACTGAGTTGTGGCCAACCTGACACAGGGAAAACCATGGATCCCATCTAGGGCAGAGGCAAGACTGAAGAGAGCACCAGGATTAACCATCTGTTAGTGATGTGTTGGTGAAGGGAAAGGGGGAAAAGCCTCATGTTGTGACCAGCCCTCACCTCTGCTGCCTCTGCCCCTGCCCCTGGAGGGAGCCAAATCCATCACTGCCACAGCTGGACCAGACACAGCAGTGCAGGAGGAGCAAGCAGTGCCAGACCTGGCAAGTACAGGCACAGCAAATAGGACCTCGGGCAAATAAGCCCAAGAGGCCTATGCCAGGTGTCACCTAACTAGGGTGGGTAGTCAGAGGAAGGAAGACGAGCCAGCTAAAAACCAGAGTAGGTACATGGGTGTTGGTGCTCCAACTAGCCCAAAGGAACTTGGGGCAGAGTGGCATACCTGTGCTGCTGCACACCCAGGCCTCACTTCAGGGACGTACGCTGCCAGCCCTTGGCAAAGGCAGAGATGTGTTGAAGCAAGGCTGAATCACTGTGAGAGCCCCAAAGCACATGTGACTAGTGGAGACAGCAATGGGCTGGTGCACAGAGAGAGACAGGTGGGGAGAGGCAGAGAGTGTGGTGTGAGTGCTCCCTGTGCTCAGGACTGCTGCATGGTCAGGGATGGGGATGGCTGGCAAGATCTAGTCCCCTTCTGGGTGGGTGTCCCAGCCGCGCTGCATGGCTTTCACCACAGCACTGTAGAGTTTGCTCCAAGCCTCCTGCACCTCTGGGCTGAAGGCAGTGCCAAGGCATTTCTCCAGCATGTACAGCAAGGACTCACCAACAGTCTGCAAACCAAAGAGGGAGGTGTCAAGCTCAGCAGCAGGGGATGACATGCAGTCCCTTGTCTCACTTCACCACCTTTTTTGACTTCTCCCATTGCAGGGCACCTGCTCCTCCTCCACTAGCAGTACCAGGCAGCTCAAAGGGGACCCAGAGCCAGTCCATGTCATCCCCTTCCCTGTCCTATGCAGGCCCTCATCCCACACACTGGGTGACTGGGGAGGGCAAGGCAGGGAGCAAGGGCTGACACCACACATGCAACACCAGGGGAGAGGGACACATCCATCCTCCACGGCTTCCACATGCAAGTAGACGGCCCCACCCCTTGGCATAGCAGTGAAGCAGCAGAGCTGAGCCATGTCCTGATGTCAGGAGAGCGGGTCAGATCCCAGGCTGGATGCTTAGGGCCTGCCTTGATGCCTCTCAGGCTTCTCCACAGGGCACTGTCCCTCACAGAGCTATGAGTAACCCCATGCAGGGGCACCCACACACTGAGGGCAGGGCTGGTGCCACAAACAAAAGGCGTCCTGCTCCCTCTGAAGAGGACAAAAACTAGCAGTATCAGGAGTGAGCCATGTGTTGGTTAGAAACCTTTTCTTCAACCTGCCGTTCCCTGCTGAATTATCCAGCATTTCTGTCCATGTTTGTTGGCAGGAGAGGAGTAAGCAAGGGTTTAATATGTAAGATGCTCAGGTCTTACTGCCATGGAGGAAGAAGGGGCTGGGGTGCAGCAACCCCATCTCAGTGCAGATATAGAGAAGTGGATGCTCCCTTTTCCAGATGTGGCAAGGTTTGCCCAGAGCATTTGATGCAGAGATCCAGGGCAAAGGCTGAGCCTGAAGCCCTGTATCACAGGAGAGACCGCAGTGCCCCAAATCATGGTCCTCTTCAGTGGAAATGCCATGCACCCATCTGTCCTTTCTCCCTGGGCTTACTGGGGAAGGACAGAAAATGAGGGGATCTCAAGGGTTTCCCTCATTGGGCAAATATCACTACACGGTTATCAGCACCTTGGGCGGGATGCCCTGAGCCACCAGCTTTCTCTCCAGCCAGTTGAACCCAGGATAAGGATGGGGACAGCCAAGGGCTGCAGGCAGGGGTGCACAAACACAGCTGCAACAGAACAAGAGAGGACACCTCACCGAGAAAGACTCGGTCTTCACACCAACTGCCTGGTGCTTCTTGCCAAGGTTGCAGAGATACTCTTCCAGGCAAGACAAGTTCTCCAGGTGGCTCACAGCAGCATCAATCACCAGCATGACCTGGTGCAGGAGCAGAAAGGCAGAATGGCATTGACAGCAAGAGGAACAGTCTGACTCTTCTACTTCACCCTCGTCAGCCTGACCCGCTCCCAGCCCAGCAGATGCCCTCTGAGCTTTCCTTTGCTCTACTGTGATCCGTGTGTCAAATCAGTGAGGCATGCTGGCAGCAGCACACACCACATCCTGCCATGGGACACTGCCAGAGGTGCACAGCAAGCAGCACTGCTAACCACCCTGTCCTAGAGAGGGTAAAGAGCCCTATAGCAGAGCAGTTGCAGGCTAAGACCTAATGCTGATGCAGTCATTACAACTGCTAGGACCCCAGGACAACTGTATGGGAAGTTGCTAGGACTGGAGTTTCCAACTAGGAGTTACCAAGATAGTGCAATTGTGAATAAGGCCGCTCTGATTCTAAGATCTGCCAAGGTATTTGAAGAGATGAGGTTGATAGTACAGCCAGGTCTCTTGACCTGGGTTGGTAAAGCACATACCACATGGTCTCCCAGGAGCATCAAGAACCAAATGGAAACAGGACAGAGAAATGCAATGAAGGATGAAGGGAACAGACATACAAAATTAGAAGAAGAGATTAAAGCCAGGGCATGGTTATCTTGGCAAAGCCAAGGGGTAATAGAATTCTGCCCTATAATTTCAGCAGAGAATTTATCTCCAACAAGAGCAAATAGCTATGTCGGCTCAAAGCAATAATAGAAGTAAAAATGGACTTAACTTTGCCAACAAACAGAGGCTGGAAAGCAATAAAAAGCTTGCAGCTATCAGAGGAGCACAGTCCTGAAACAGCCTCTTACGAGGAAGGCAAGCAAGGCACCAAAGTGGTTTAAGATGGAACCAGGCAGTTTATGAAGGCATCTGCAAGCCAAGGCTGTGCTCAGAGGCTCTCTCAGAGATGCTGTGGGCCTTCTGGCTCTGCAGCTGCACCAAGAGCCTCTCCACATTAATGGGTCCATGCAAGCCTTGCCCACTGCCCAGCTCTGTGCCAACTCCTGGTCAGCATGTGGCCAAGCAGAGGGCTTCGGTCCTTGTCCGGACAGAAGTGAGCTCCTTGAGGCATCTCACTCAGGTAGAAGGAGGAGGCTTCCAGCTTTCACAGGAGGCAATTCACTCTCAGACACGGGCATGAAAATCAGCATGGTGCTTCTTAGCCACCACAACCCGCATCCTCATCCCTTCCCCACTATTGTAGGACACTTTGTCCTGGCAGTAGTGCCTTCTGCAGTTACTGTCTCAGGAGGAAACTTCCCATGCATTCCCTGGTAAGACACACCACAGTCTCGAGTCATTGCCTAAGGGCTTCCTCCTCCATGGAGACTGTGCTCCAGCCATGCCATAGCACCTCTCTCACCTTCCTGATGTGATCCAGGAACTCAGGGGCAGAGAGGCACTCCTGAGGACTGGCAAACTGCTTGCAGTTGTACTGGAAAAGGGGCAACAGGTCAGGATCCAAGTCAAACAACCTGCAAAAACAAGAAAGAAACCCCATCTTCTCACTTCCTCAGCTTTATTTAAAGTCCTACTCACCCCAGGAACAACCCCATCAGCAGCACAACCACAGCCCCCTTTTACTTCCCTTCCCACCTACTGATCTCTTCCACTGGTAAAGGATTCAAAAGTTCTGAAAAGTTTTGGTTTTGGGCAATCCAGATTAGCTATAGGCAAAAACCTCTCTACTTCCCTGGCCCACAACCCCAGCTCTCAGATACATGTCTATGGCACCTGAGGACCAGTCCCAGCTCACTGGAGTTCCTCCCAACCTAGCCCTTCTCCCCAGAGTCTTGGTTGTTGGCTCGACTCTTCCCATTCCCACTTCTTGATCCCCTTGAACCCAAAAGTTCACAAATCAGGGAAGGTCTCCAAGCTCCAGTAGCTGTCTGGAGCAAGGGGGCATGCACAAACTCAGACAGTCTCCGACACCTCACCAGCTCCCATCCTGCCCCCCCTGCCCCTGCCCCATCTTCTCTGCCCCTGCATGTCAGGCACATATAGGCCTCAATAGCAGCCATTCAGGTAGATCTAACAGGCCACAGGGAATTCAGGCAAGACAGTCTCTCTCTCGTCATCCTGCACATTAAACTACTGCATCCCTCTCCCCCCACATTGCTGTCACTGCTCTAGTCCTGCTCCGGGAGGATCCCACTTGTTCCAGAAGCTGCTCATCAACTCTCCAACTGTTCTTTTTAAATGACTTTTCATTGATTTTTCCTTTTTCTCTTCACATAATTGATATATTAATCTGCGTAGCACAGGTAAGAAGCTGGGTATCAGTCATTCCCCCCGGCACACCATTTCCTCTGCCCTGACACTGAATCCCTCCCCGGCGGCCAGATCTGTGCCTGGGGCTGCGCAGCAGTTCCCTGATCAGGGAACAGTCAGGCGGCCCCTTCCATACGCTTCCCAGAGTTGAGGGTACAAGCAGCCCTTCAAACAGCAGAAGTCGTGGCGACAGGGGAGGGGATCAGCGGGCAGAAACGACAAACCCTGCCCGCCGCTTCTCTCTCACCCTCCGTCTCCGCGTAACAAAGTTCTCACTGGCAGAGGGTGGGAAAGGAGAGGGAGCAGCGCGGAGCGGAGCCCAGCACTGCCCCACGGCACCCGCGGCTGGGCGACGGAGGGGCTTCGGCCCCGGTTGCTCTCGGGAGCGGAGAGAGGCCAGAGGAAGGGACGCTGTCTGGGAGCCATCGCAAGCCACAGATTGGGAGGCGTTTTCTCCCAAGAAGCGGAGCCGTCCATTCCCGCCCCGGTCGGTCCGGGGTGCGGCGTCCGCAATCGCGCCGCCGCGCTGACCTGGTGAAGAGGACGAGGCCGTGCTGCTCGGGGCTGCTGCTCACACCGCGCCATCACCGCTCTCCGGGATCAGCGCTCGCTGCCGCCCGGTCAGCGCATCCCCGCTCTCCATGGCGGGGGCCCTGCCTTCTCGCCGCCCAAGGGAGGCGAGGCGCTGGTACCTGGCGGGCTCCGGCGGGCGGAGGGGCGGCGACGGCAGCCGCCCGCCCCTCGCTCCGCCGGGGGGCCCTGCCCCCCGCGCCCCGCGCCCGCCGCGCCCACCAGCCCCGGCGGATCCGTCCCCCCTGCGCCCCTGCCCCGCTCTGCCGCCGCTCTGCCCCGCGGCTGTCCCGGCCGGAGAAGGAAGAGCTCACCGAGTATTTCCCTTTCGGGGGAAGGAAGAAAAACGAAATTCAAAATCCCCAAACCTCCTTACCCCGGGTCCGCAGGGCAGAGCAGAAAGTTCGGCTCATTCACGTTTGACATTTCCCGTCGACCTGATTTTACGAGCGAAGCAGCACCGCAGAGCCGTGCCAGCGAGGGAACCACCGGGACCCAGACACTTTCCCTCACCATTCAGCACAGCTCCTTCCGAGCGTAACTTTGCTTGGGAGGGCCTCGGCGATGCTCCGCCATCCTCTAGCTCTTGGCCACATCCACTGAGACTCTGGATGCCACACAGACACCTGCTATTTCCATAGGCAGACGCAGTCTAGACACTGCAAAGTACGTATTTAATTTGAGGCTAATTAAGACAGCTAAACCAGACAAAGCTGTTAGTAACAGATCGGAAGACATCATCTTTGTCAATTGTGTTCACGATGCACAGATTCTCTTTCTTGTTCAGACACTGCTTAATTTGGCCCCAGGATGTAGGCAGCACAGAGGAAACAAAGCAAGAAGGGGCAAATGAGGTCTCAAGCAGCACAACAAAAGTCAGGAAAGTTAAGGTTTTCATAAGGATGCAAGCAATACAGAAGCACAAATATTACTGAAACCATTGCAGTCTGCACAAAAATAACAATTGTGCTGATCTTGTTACAAGTTCTGGTTCTGTACATCAGACTTATTTCTTGTAATCAGGAGAGAAGACAGCAGCCTCCAACACAACCCAAGAACATATTGACTCAATGTAGGCATAAAGAAGTACTGAAAATAATCCCTGGGAGGAAACAAGTTCAAAGGCACAATGCTACATTATCAACCCCAGCTTGTCTCCCAGGGGCCTTTCTCCTATAGAGCTGGAGTGACAGCACTGACTGCAGTGACAGCAGTAAGCCACCCGAGATGGCTCTGCAAGTGCCAGAATAAATTACCTGTTTCCTCAGGATTATGAGACCTCACATTCTCAGTGCAGACCAGACAAGATGCTGCATAGGAAAAGCTCCACAAGGGTTAGAGGAGGCTGAAGAACCCTGTTCTAAAGCTGGGCTCTTGAAGGAAGAGTCCAACAAACTCACAAAAGCATTGAACTGTCAGATCACTCAGCCAGAAAACAAATGATGTCACAAGTATACTGTGTGTTAAAATGCCACTGGTAGAAAAGACTGAATTAATGTCAAAGGTTCCAAGACCTGGGAAAATGCAAATGGCTTCTGTTAAATAATGACTCCTCTTAGAAATACAGCATTTTACCTTTCACACTAAGAAAACCCCAAAGAGCATACCATCTCTACACATCTATATTCTTAGAGAACAGGGGATAAATTGAAAGCATTCAATAACAAAGAAAAGGCACAAGATGAAGGGCCATCTCATAGCTGGGGAGTCAAAACACACAACCTGCCAGCCTGCAGTGCTTCCTGCTGCTGGCCACCATCTTCTGGTCCAGGACAAGTTCCCACTAAAAACAGTGTCTTAGCTGTGTGGTTGCAAGGGGAACGTTCCCACTGGGCAGTGATGATAAATCACTGTGATGGTAACTGCTGAAACTGCAAGGAGCCTGAAAGGGCAGCTAGGAAAGCAGCAGGAAACACTGGGTTAATCCGAGCAGGGCAAATGCTGGCCCAGTAGTGCCAATGCAAACATTAACCTTTATCTTGCAGCTGATCGAGCACACCAGCAAAGAGCATGAAGTGTCATCTTGTGTCATCTGCACAAGGTACTCTGACATTTCAGCCAGTTGTCAAACACACAGCTGTGGAGCTTCACCAGAGCCTGGCTGGACAGTACAGCCTGGCCCTGCTAACAAGAAAGGGTAGAACAACAGATAGGCAGCAGTGTGCTGCTGGGGCACTGGAAAGGAGTCATCCTTTCCAGTGCCCCATCCTTTCATCTCCATCCTGGAGAGTCATCCCAGGCCACAGGATACTGAGGAGCAGAGTTGACGCACATATGTGAAGTCAGAGCAGCAAACAAGGCTGAGTATTTGCCTAGCAACATTTTGAGTACATTCAGACCTGGTTGATAGTGGAGGAAGAGAAATACCACAAAAACAAGTTGTTGAAGTTAAGAGCAATCAGCTCCTGAAGATTAGTTGGGATGTAGGACACCTTTCCTCGCATCCACATAGGCGCCATATCAGCTACCCTGCCCCAGGGCAACAACAAAGTACAGGTTCAGCCATTGCTCCTGACGGCAAGGGTGTCTCAGACAATAGCAGTGAAGCCGTGACAGCAAGAGAAAATGGTGAATCTTGTCCCAAGCCTTCCCCCCTGCACCTTCCCTCTGTGCGGCAGACGGTGGCTGCACGCTGAACGCGCGCAGACAAGGCTCAAGTGTCAGAACACCCCAGACATAACGGCAGCAATGAGAGTGCTCAGCATGACATGCCTTCCTTTCATGAGAAATACATCTACCCCAGCTGATGAAAGGGGCAATGTGCTGCCCATACCCGCCTGTTGGCACCCAAACTTCATGCTGGTATGACACTCAGCAGAGTCTAAGAACTCTTAATTTCTTCCCTGCCTTCCCCAGCAACAGCTCCTTCTGGGCTGGATACATTCAGGAGCAGTTTCCCTACCTTCCCTGACTCTCTGGACAGTGAATCCATCCCTTTGCTGCCTTTTGGCACTGGTACATGTTCCCTCCCTTAATAAAACCAGGATTTTTTAACCTGTACAGCACAGGTCTTCCAGCACAGGAGAAAGGAGCTGCAAGGAGGGACTTGATGTGGGAGACGGGGTAAGAAACATATGAACCACCATTCACATGACTTGAAAGAGCAAGGGTTTGGGAGACACGGTGCTCTTCCCTGTGTGCAAAGCAGCTTCTCCCTTGCAGCTATGTGGCTGTCAGTGGAGTTTCTCCTGCTGTCAGAGCACTGAAGTTCTGAGAGTACAAGTGGAGTCCAGAGAGGATTTGAAGTACAAGGAAAAACAAACAAGGAAACCTCCCTTCTTGTTCCAAATGTTTTGTGAGCCTTCAAGCATGAGAATCTCAGCAAGAGGTTGACCACTGCAAATGTTTCCATGGTCGGAGGGTTTCCTGCAATGCTTGCCAGCTCCCTTGGCTTCACACACCTAACCTGGCAGCTCAGCTCTTTTCTGAGCTGTTCTTGGATTTCTACAAGACCATCCCTAGAACTCTCATGAGTGAAAAACAACTGAGTCAGCAGCACAGACTGCTCCAAAATCATCTGTAGACTACTTGGAGAAAGGGGAGGGAAGTTTCTGGAGAAACTCACTGACATGCAACGAGGATGGTAACACGCTTTTGTGCTTTAGGAGAACACAAATATATGTTTTTAGTTTGCAGAGTCTCATTATTGTAATCTATAGCCCCTTCAAGTTACAGTACCAACACTCTTAACTGCCCTTGCCAAGTGTCAGCTTCACTTGTTCTCTGTCTCAGTTTACCCACATGGAAAGAAACTTGCCTGATCTCATAAAACTGTGTGACTGAACTAAGAATAAGCTCACAAATGCCAGTCCCCAGCACTGAAGTCAGGGTTCACAGCACCTGGAGAACAATCCTTCCTGCCCAGAGAGGCCCTATCTGCCTGGCCCAGGAACAATTGCTTTGCATGTGCTGCTGTGGCACCATCAATTTTCATCCCAGCTGCTGCACTAACAAACCCATATCCCCCTTTGAATTTGTGCTCATTTCCAATTCTACATCTGTGAGTCTTCATGAATAATGATACTCTGATCTAGCTGCCTCAGGCTCCCTGCTCACTTTTTATACAGACTCCTGGGCTTGCCTAATCCCCTTCTTTCCCCTTGTCCCCAGTCTGAAAACCTCAGACCATGACAGTTCCTGTTTTTCCCAGACTCCCATCCCCATCCTCAGGTGGGATCAGAACTCATGCAATGCTCCCAGCAGTCTTCTCAAGCTATCCCCTCAGGCGATGGTGTGGCACAGCTCAGTAGCAAAGCAAGTCACGAAATACAGTTGCATAACAAGAATCAAAAGCAATGCAGGAGGGAATAATCTTGTCCATAACATGATTAAGGCAAGCTGCAGAGCTTGCTGACTGCCACCACGACTGTGGAGAGAACAGGGTAGCCCTACCAACCTTGGGGATCTGGGCTAAGAGAAGAGGGATAGGCAGAGGGAGAAGGAGCAATGTGTGGGAGAGGATTCAGTAGCAGAATAAAATGAAAACTCCTTTTGACTTCAATTTGCTACTAGACATTGCCAGGTTTATCTTGAATCTCCTGTGGCCAGCTAGGGAACATTTGTACAGGCAGGGGAAAACATTACAAGGATGACAGGGCATGAAGTGGTGAGAGAAGCCAAAGGGGACCACACCAAGTTGTTGGACCAGGTCTGGCACTTAAAAGATGCTCAGACCTTATCCCAGTTGTTACTCACCTTGTGCTCTCTAGCACAGTGATAATCCATCACCACCAGGCTGATCTTCCAAGAAGCAACCTCTGCCTTTTGTAAGTCACTCTACCAAAGTGAGTTCACATAGTGTATCAACCATGTCAGTCTTGACACACAAGATGAATTTGGTCATAAGACACAACTACAAATGTGCGCGCACTCCAAGCTGGTGGGATGCAAGCACCTGTGGTCCCAAAGCTCTCCAGCCTCATTTGCTTAGCATGGTGCTCTAGCTAATATGCCTGACAACATTGTGTTAGCACAGTTACCTGGCTTCTGTCCTACCTAGGAATGGTGCACATGGTCTTGGGTCTTCCTCTGATTGTCCTTATGCTTCTGGACTGGATCATCCTTCAGCTGCTGAAACATCATGGCAAAAGCTTGGTGAAAGGATGCTTTACTCCCTGTGGACCCTCCTCTGTAGTTTCCCTGCTGAGTTTGACTTGTTTCAGAAGCGCTGCGGGTGCTGATCTCTGATTTGTCATTGATCGTCTTCTCTCTGATCTCCACTCCGTCTGTTCTCTCCCTCCTTTGTGCACTTTAAACTGACACTATTGATTAGGTCATCTCCTACAAACATTTGACCTACAGTGGTTGTCTACAGGAATAGCATTTTTTACATGATCTTTTAAAACAAAGATTTTATATTTCATTGCACCCATTCCTTCATGGCAGGGCTGTGCCAGCATTCCCACCTTTCAGCTTTGCACTCAGCCATCTGGTCTCATAGCAAACCCCATGTGTTATTCCTTCTATGTGCAGGATCCTTTCCTGCTTGAGGTCTTCTCCTCCTCACCTATCTAAGCCATTCTAGTTTTGGGGCTTTGTCAAAAATGATTTTCCAGTTCAGTGAGGAATTTTGCACCTGCAAACTCCAGAGTCAAAGAAGCCTAAGTGTTGAATAAATACTGAGTTTCTGTCTTGAGGAGAATGATGTACCATGTCATATCACAAAGCACTTCCCAATCCATTAGTAACTAAATTGTTAATTTTATCTTTTTTAGTAATGCTCAAAACAAAGGTATTTCAGAAGACTTGGAGTATAAAATGTGGTAATACTCAGAAAGACCAAAGAGAATGATTAAGGAAAAAACTAACTAGCCTGATAAAAACTGGCATACAAGACAAATAACCCAGTAGGGTGTTTATTATAAAGGTGTTTGAAGTTGTGTGGGTCACAACTTTTCAGAGTGACCCATCGGTTCATGCCTTTTCATCTCTGCCAAGTAGCAATCTAACTCTTGATGCATCTCTTACTACCTATGTCCTGACAGTTTTTCATTAACTTCGATATTGCTCTTTATGCCTTCATTTTGAGAAGCAGCCTTTTTGCTTTCCCCTCCACATGACTCTCTCATAGCAGCCCTCAGTAATCTGCATTCTCACTT